CAAGCAGGTGGGATTACAGGCATCCAGCTCATTTTCTCCTCTTTTGGTGGAGTCACAAAGATCTCCTCTCATACTATCACCCCACCCTGAGGTCCCCAGCTCTGCTAGCTCCATTTCAGGGCATCCTGCTGTCCTTCCTTCTGTTCTGTAAGTGGTTAGATCTCAGGATTGTCATATTGTTATCAGTGGTTAGATGTCAGGACTGTCACACTGTACCTGGTTGCCATCTGTCGTTGCTCTAAGGCAATGCTTTTCTGGCAAGTGTTCTCTTCTTTCTAATTCTTTTTTCTTTGTATTATTTATATACTTCTCTACAGTTCATTCTTTCTTGCTGACTTATCTCTGAATGCTGTTTTTCTCCCAATTGGGTTTTAGCAGGATGTTCATCCAGAGCAAGACGAAGTGCTGTGGCCCAGGCTCTTGTGAATTATCGTTGGAAGCCAAGGTTTTCATGTGTAGGTTTTTTCTCCATCTTGAAATATAAATCTCCCAAACCTTCAGATGTAATGCGACCTGGCCCTCCTGCAGTGCTTTTCAAACTTTCTATTTTCCGAATGCTTTCACCCTGAGTGTGCCCTTTGGCCCTCACAAGAGCCCCTGGCTAGTAGGTGGGGGCCTGTGTTGCCAGCCCCATGTTATAGAGGGGAGCTGAGGTCCTGGCTGGGGAGGTGCTTGCCCAAGGCCCCACTTAGGCAGGTTGGGGGCTGAGCCAGGCCTGGAACTCGGTCCCCCGCCAGTGCAGAGCTCCTCTACTCCGGGAGGTGAAGGGGATAGGCTCTGGGTGGTTACGCATTTAACAAGCTGATTGACCATCCAGTTCCTTAAACCTGAGCTCCTGGGTGCGTCTCGGCATCAGAAGCAGCACTGAGTCTCACCCCCTTTGGAGGTACAGCTGTTGCATCAGGCAAGGTCACCTGCATTTATTTATTGAGCAGCAGCCGTTCCAGGCCCAGGGGACCGAGCCCATTCCTCTGTAGTGACTCCGAGGCCCTTTGGGAGGGCCCGTGTCTGTAGAGCAGCACGTCGGAGTGGACAGAAAGTGTCCACGGCTCCCCTGACTCGCAGCCCCCCTGAGGTGGGCTGGCGGTGCCCATGTTACCCAGAGCTTCTGTGAGCCCAGAGTGGAGACTTGAACCCAGGGCCGTGGGCGTTGCCCCTGGAGCCGGTTCACTCTACGGCTGCCTCCTACTGGGGTGGCGGGAAGGCAGGGCCCTGGTGCTCAGGCTGGGGGCCTCTCTCCATCCACCCACCCCTCCCTCATTCCCTCACCAGGAGCTGGAGCTGCCCAGGCCTTTGGGGAGGGACGGTTTCCAGGGCCCCGGGGTTGGAGCGGGTCACACTGCATTGTGTTCATGACCATGTAGCTCATGTTGAAAATTAAAGTTTTTGGTTTTTCAAAAAAAAAAAGAAACCTATAGAGCTGCCTCCAAGCACCCCATTTTCTTCTCTCTTACATGGGTCAGGTTCTCTGGTTAGGAATTCTTTTCTGGTCATGGACTGGTAGTTTTGGGTCATTTGATTTTTTTCATTCCATTCTACTTGCCTCCATTTCCTCTTCCATTCACAGGCAACTTTCCTGGGACAACAACAAATCCTGCACAGTTTTAGGCCAATCCCATCTGACCTCAGAAACCACCTCCACCCAAACCCTTCTGGGGACATCCTCTCATCCTCACTGGGCCCTGTGCCTCTCAGCAGGGTCCCTGGGGTCAGCTACACCATTCTTTGGACCCCTCCTAATCCCGGGCTTCAATGGTTCCCCTCATGCCCCAGCCCAGATGTCTTTGTTTAGAATCCTAGAAGCACGAGACCCATTGGGGGCCGCCCCCAGGAGGAGCCTGTAAGGGAGTGAGAGAAGCAGTAGCGGGTTCAGCAAGGAGTTTTGCTACTTGTGGATTCAGGGAAAGTGTAGCCTCTACCTGATGCTGGGGTGCTGTGGAGTGTGGACTGCCTCGGCAGTCTGCCCTGTCTGCAGGACCTGGCTTTGGTCCCACCTCACCCCAGACAGTCCTTTGCAGCAAGCCTAGGGGGAGATGCTGGGCACAACTTCCCAATACAGTAATAAGGAGGGATCGGGGGCGACGTTATCAGAAAATCAGTCATTTTCGAGAGCTACGTAATTAATATGAGTACTCTCATTGTGCAAAGATGAATATATTCTCAGGAATGTAGTGGTCCCTATGGGTCTCATCTGTGGGCCTCATATCAGGAACGTTCCAGAGACATCTATGACCCTGAGGCCTATAGGGCCTCAGAGGGGACAGCTGGAAGGTCCCTGGGTCCAGAAAGTGGCAGAGCCAGGGGACAGAGGCAGCAGGCACCCACTGTCCAGAGTCTCCTCCCTCCTCTCCTTCCTGCAGGCCCCACAGGTCTGTCCAGTGACGGGCAGCTGGTGACCACCCAGTCTGTCATCCAGTTGGTCAGGTGGGTGACCTGGTGACTTTGGGGATGCAGTAAAAACAATTCACAGAGCTCAGATGAATCCAACAAGTCTACAAAAGCTCTGAAGAGAAGTAAGAGTAATGAGGATTTCAAATCATCCAAGCATAGTGACGTTATGCGAAGCCATTGAAACTGAGAGATCCTCTACCTAATCGTGGAACATGCAAGCAGAGGTGAAGTATTTGACTATTTTCCAGAACGTGGGAGAATGCAGGAAAAGGAAGCCAGAGCCGAGTTCAGACAGGTCATATCTCCTAATCCAATATGGCCACCAAAAACGGATGGTGCACAGAGACCTCAAGGCTGAAAATCTATTGTTAGATGACAATACGAACATCAAAATGACAGATTTTGGCCTCAGCAACGAATTTACTATTGGCCGTGAACGCGACCCGGTCGGTGGCACTGCTCCACCCTCAGCCCCCGAGCTCTTCCAGGGCCAGAGATGACGCGACGCCCGGAGACCACGGTGCAGCCTGGGGACGGCCTGCAGGTGCCGGCGCCGGCACACGTCCCTGTGAGGGGCAAAGCCCCAGGTACCGGGGCAGAGAGTCCCGGGCGAACACCCAATCCTTCACGCATGTCAACAGGCCGTGCAGACCTTCTCCAAGGTGTCCTGGTGTCGAGCCAGCGAAGCGAGGCACTCTGGAGAAGCTCATGAAACACAGACGGCGGGACTCAGGGTGTCAGGAAGATGAACTTCAATAACCTGTGTTGAGCCAGACTCAGACATCTCAGACCGGAAAAGAAGAGACACTTTAGTGAGAGTGGGGTATTCACAAGAAGAAATTCAAGAATCTCTTAGAAAAATCAAACACGATGGAATCAAAGCAGCATGTTTGTTACTAGGGAGAAAATCTTCAGAGCCGGACGCTGGCGCTCCCAGCTGTAGCAGCGATCTGTCACTTGCTAGTGGCAGGCCCATCTCAACAACAGCCCTGGCAGTCTCCTCCGTACAAGGTGCAGGGAAGGGTTTCTTCAAGCCACAAGCAGAGACGTTACAGTGACTGTGCCAGCCCAGCTGTCCCTTCAGTTGTGGTGTATCTGAGAAGGAGTCAGACCTGTACCGCACATAGTGACCTCAAAGAAGATGGAATCCCTCCCAGAAATCAGTGGCGCGTCTGCCGGAGGAGGGGGAATTGCTCCAGCCAGTCCAATGCTTGGGAAGGCAAGTAATCCCAGTAAGGCAGATGTTCCTGAATGCAAGAGAAGCTTTCCTGTCCCTAGTAGTAGCGCAGCATCTGCAAGAGCAATGACAGGGCAAAATACGTGTGTTTGCAGTGACAGGACTACAACTGATAGACACACAGAGATTCGACGTGCCCGGGAAGGGCGCCAGTCCCGATCAGAGAACTTCAGTTGCTTCAACGCACATTCTTAGCCGAGCAACCACCCTGGATCGAATCCACTTCCCAAGGGGTACTGCCAGTCGTCGGTTGTCACACTGTCCACAGCCAGCCATGAGAGTGGAGAACTGCAGTATGCAATGGATCCCTGCCTCTGCCAACCTGTGCCCTGAATGCACACCATTGCTCCAGGGTCAAAGTCAAGGTTTTCTTGTCAAAGTCGTCTTTTTCCTAAACTAAGGTCAAAACTCAGAAGGCATCACGACGTATCTGCTGAGCAAAAGGATGAGAACAAGGAAGCAAAACCTGGTTTCCTGAGCTTCACCCGGAGCGTGAAAACCACGAGTTCCATGGGTCCTGGAGACACGACACAGGAAATCTGCAAAGTGCTGGATGCCAAGAACTGCGACTGGGAGCAGTGGGGGTGCTTCTTGCTCTTCTGCGGCCGGGGCGATGGGCACATGGGAGCCTCGTGCAGTGGCAGATGGCGGTGACCGTCTCTGGGCGGGGTCTGGTTTAAGCAGATATCAGGGCCATCCAGAGCCTTCAAATATATCACATCCAATATAGCCAGTGAGCTGCAGCTGTACCCAGTAAATATGGTGTGAATTAAGTAATGATTAAAGTTATTTTTCTGAACACTGAAGGAAATACATAGAAAAGTTTTAGGCACTAACGTCTGCATCTTCTAAGTCGTGGTGTTAGAGTCTGAGCACAGGAGCATACCTGGCAGCGAGAGGCGCCCTTCTCTCCCAGGAGAGCACTGCATGGGGGGCGCGGCCCGTGCACCCCGTCCCGAGGTCAGCTGGGCCCCGTCTCCAGCAGCCTCTGCCTGGGTGGTGTGAGAGTGGGCCGCGCGTGTGAGGCCGTGTGCCTGCAAGCTTCTCCCTACACTGGCAGCCGGGGCCGGACCTGGTACCTCTGGGAGACCGTCTGGTGCTAAAACATGACAGTTGCCATGGAGGAACACACTGAATTACTCACTGCTAGAATCAACCTGAAGACCAGTTGATAATTAACACAGGGTTACAGTTCATGCCTGTGCTCTTATGTTTCCTATTTTATAAAAGATTTACATTTATACTTGTGAATATGGCTTGTGTGTGTTCTTCTAAGTAGATTCACAAGATAATTTTAAAAATAGCTTCTTCTCAGTTAAAAAAAAAAAAAAAACAGAATCACCTGGCAGTTGGTTGCACGAGACGGAGTCAGTTAAACTGACGAAGCCCCATCACCCGGCCCAGGATCTCAGCGAGTCAAGACTATTCCGTCCCCCTGGGTTGGTCAGGACTGGAGAGTGGTCTGCTGTGGTCACCCAGGGGGGCAGTTGGTGGAATATTCATGGTCAGGGAAGTGACCAATGTCCAGCAGGGTCAGGCCCCTGGGGACAAAGTGTGCACCTGACCCGGAATCTGGAGAGGGACAGAAACCTGGCTGCTCGTGGGCCAGCAGAGGAGCTTCCATGGATGGGAACAGTCACCATCAGCCTGGGGAGAAGTGACTCATACAACAGGGCAGGCCACGTCCCAGGGCTGGGCCCCCTCCCTGTCACCCCAGGCCAGGCCTCCTTCAGAGCAGACTGGGGACAGGCTGGGCTGGGAAGAGGAAGGAGGAGGAGTTCTGAGCACGGGGATTAGGGCTGATCCTGGGATCGGGGCTGTGAGGTGGGGAGGAGCTCCTGTCCCCTGGGGAGTGAGAAGTCACCCACTCATGGCTGATGCTGGAGATCATGGTCTGAGCCTTGACTCTGGTTTCCTTCTGGTGGCCAGGTGAAGGTGCCATGGGGGCCCTGGCCTGTCTGGGAGGACCCTCTGTGCTGAGCTCAAGTTCAGCTGAAAGTGCCCTCACCCTGCTATGACCCAGAGGGACCCTGGGAGAGTGACTGCAGGGCCGAGAACTCACCTGGGCACCTCCCAGTTCTGACTTGGGACTACAAGGCCACCCTGTGCACATGACACCACCTCTCTGTGCCTCTGTTTGGAGAAAGACAGGAAATACAGAAAACGCCATCACTGGTATCCTCTATTTCAAATGGAAGAAAAACCGACACAACTGGGATTCAAAACACCCAACACCAGGAACTCCAGTGATCAAGAAAAGCAGAGGCTGAGATTCAAGGTAAATAATTAAGTCTAGGTTGTAAGAAAAAAAAAAAAGTAAAAAGGAAAGAAAGAAACAAAAAGAGTCAGGTGTGGGAGGGGGTGAGGTTCTGAGGGTGGGTAAGGAAAGGAAGATGAGTTGGGCCTCTATGCCAATGACAGTGAGCTGGCAGAGGTCGACCTTCTAGATGCCTCTGTCTGACCTCATTCTGGCCGTCTGACTGAATCCTGGTAAAGACGTGACCTGAAGGAGCTCACCCTGCTCTGGAAATGGCTCCAACGAGCCACATGGAGGGGATGCAACTTGGTGGTGGAAAGTCTGCTCAGGGCACATCACTGGGCTCCTACAGCAGCTCCCTTGTTTATCAGCTTGGTGGCCCCGAACACCTGAGTCCCTTCTCTGTCTTCCGTTTGCTCTGCTGTACCACAAGCAGGGTGACGACAGCCTCACAGGTGGTAACAGGTCCCGGATTTAGAGTAATCGATGCAACAAGCTTAGCACCGCCTGGTCCCCAGGGAGCACCCCATCCATGTCCGTGGGTGACACTGGGGAAGAAGGAAAGCACCGAGCGTCCCATTAGCAGGCAGGCACATGCCACTCAGGGTGACCTGGAGCCATCCCAGACATGAGATACTGGGCTCTGCCCTCAGCGGGGAGATTCTTTTTGAAGGAGCCTCTGGGCAGAGTGAGTGAGTGTAGGGCGCCCGGCACTAGCAGGCCACCTGCTACGGTGCCTTCGCCACAGGGCAGGGTGGACTCAGTGCAGGCCCCTGAAAATGTTTTAGTTTATTTTAAGATCAAGAAAATAATAAACTTGTAAGGGGAAAAATATTTGCATAAATGATGTTAATACAAATTTTTAATTTTTTATAGAATAAGAGCACTCACGGGCTATAGGGCCCGGTGTTCACAAAGGTCCCTGCGCAGGCTGGTTGCCCGGCGTCCTGGAAGGGCTCATGCATCTGTTAATGGATCGTGACAGCAGTGGTCAGTCTGTCCTGCAGTCTTGGCAGCGGCTCAGCAGCCTGGTGTAGACAGGGGGGAGCACCGCTCCCTCATCCAGAGGTGACGTTTTGCAGCAAGATAGATGTACCTAGAAGGAGTTCTCAAATGTGTCAGTCCGCAAGGGCCCCGGATGTATTATGGCCACCAAGAGATTCCCTCCTAGAGAACAGGAGCTGACGCGAGAGCAAAGAATAAATACGGAGACATGACTGAAGCATTTGGCACACCCAGGATGGGAGGGGTCTCATATGGGAAAGTGGCACTTTGAAATCAAACTTGGTTTCAAATCTGCCCATGTTGCCCAGCATCATTCCTGGGCTCAGGTCAAAGTCATCACGGGAAATTCGGGGCCACTGGGCAGAAAACCGTGCCCCGCATCTGCTCCAGGAGCCTAGCCCATCAGAAGGATGCCCAGGCACCCGGCAGTGGGTGGATCTGCTGACAGGTACTCAACACAGAGACACTGGCAGGCAGACAGACAGACAGCGCCCACTGAGACACGCATGTGGAGACACAGCCTGCTGTCCCCCCTGCTGACAGCTGAAGCATGTGGCGGGTCCTGGTGGGAGGTTTCCAGGAGTGCGCTGGGGACACCTGTGGAAGGACCTCCCCACCAGGCAGCCCCTTCCTCGGCCATCGTGAGCTCCTGGGCACTGGGCAGTGGCGGGGGAGGCTGGGCGTGGGAACCA